AGTCGCCATGCTGTGATCCACATCCGGGCAACTGTAAGCCGGCCTACAACAAGTATGTATAAGGCAGCGCAGGCCCGAGTTATGAGACGTAGCATGGCTAGAGCCGGGAGGGCCCAGCTAGGAAAAGCCACATAGTTAGTGCGATGTGTAAGAAGGCCGGCGAGGCAAGGCAGCAAAAAGAAATGGCCGACACCAAAACTTGTGGACTGCTGGGAGGCTGGCCTGACAAGCGGCCAGGTGTCAGGCTTGTGGCTGGTTACTGCAGTGGCACCTTCCGGCTGAGCAAGGAGAAATGCAAGAGCAGTGGTCGCAGGCCACGCCGTACCGCTACTGACTCGCCTTGATCTGCTGCGGGACCTATTCCTGGGTGAGCCTCTATAATTGGATGGAGCGGAGGAATCATAGGCTGCGGGCAGGTTAATCGGCCTAGGTGGGGGAGGCCCCCGTGGTAAGCTATCCGTGCCGTCCGGAGCATCATCCGAGTCTGGGTCGCTCTGACCGGAAGAATCCGAAGACGAACTTGCACCTACATCACCCCAGGGGTCCCAAGTGTCTACTAAAGCGAAACCGAAGGAGACAACATCACCCTCTGTGAGAGTGAGGAAGCCATGTCTGTCAGGGTGAGGCTTGCATACCAGCTTGTGCGCTGGAGGCGGCCTAACCGCAATGTATCGCTTGAGGAACTCTGTATCTACTCTCCTGTCCTCGACATACACATGCGAAACAGGGGCATTAGCAGCCCGAGGGTCGAGCATGATGAGGTGACCTGTACGCTCGGGAGTCGGCGTGATAGGAAAGACTGCCATGGCATCCCTGCATTTATGCCCATGATAAGAGATATCCCTCAAGGTTGATCCGGTAGCTGCCCCGAAAAGTACTCTATCACGGGGGCGCTCCACGAGGTCTGCAAGAAAGGCTCGAATGTCGGTGCCTGGGTATCTGCGTCCTGAGAAAAGGAGGGAGCGGTCCCCGTATGTGACAAAAACAGGCCTTTCTGCGGGCTCTGGCGGCAGGCTGGGTTCCGCGAACCACCATTGAGGCCTGGCAAGGCGTGTAGCAAGAGGACAGTCCCACCAGGGGGGCTGTCCGACTGGTTGGAATTGCACCACCCCTCCGGGTATGGCCAAGCAAGTGTCGCCCCTGGCGAGGAGGCTTGAACTCCCGAAAGCATAGGCATCCCAGGCTTCTATACCTTGATGTCGTGCCTCTCTCGCACAGTCCCAGTGGCTCAAGATCCGATCAACATACATGGCGTATGTGGGTCCGTCAAAGGCAAGGAAGTCGAAAATGACGACTTCCAAGGCTGAACTGGCGACCCAGTCTGGCATCAAGACCAAAGTGCCATGGTCCGGTGAGAGCTGTGGGACGGTGGCGGTCAGGACTTTTTTGAAACCTGAGTCCGGCAACCTCAGTGCGCTCCTGGCAGCTTCAAGGAGGGCGCTACACGGGCAGGGCAGAGGAAGGTCGAACTCAATGGTTCTAGTGTGGAAATGCGGCTCGAAGACTCTGCAGGTCATAATGGTGCGCCCGTCCTCGGAATCTGATCTGTCCGGGGCGTGCTCTGGCCCTAAGTCGTCGTTCTGAAAAACGGTGGCAACTGTCGTAGCTATGCTGTCCCGTAGCACATGGCAGCACCGCCTGTCAAGGTCGAAGTCCAGCTGGGCGGAACCCTCGTTGCCCGTGGCAGGGGTGATGGGCAAGGATTCGGGGTATAGACGAGCAGCCGTGATCAGAATGTCGACAGCTTCACCCCAGATGGGGGGAGCAGCCCCTATGTTGTCAGGCAACTGCAGGAGAAGTAAACCCCAGAAGGTCGGAAAAGACCGACGAGCCCGAACCAAATGCTCAAACCGAGTCTTATGATAGCGTCGTCTCTGGCGGTGAGACACGTCGGTGGCTCTGCAAACTGGGCCTGTCAAGCTGAGTGGAAGGAGCGCGCGATAGGGCACTCCCGGAGAAGCATCGTTCCTGAGGAATGCCGGCGCCGCTCTGTGCAGCCGGAGTGGCCTCATCAGGAGGGCTAGGAGCCACAATAAAACAGAAAGACAAGCATGTCTGGCAAACGGGACTAGTCCTTGTGCGAGCCAGATCAGGAGGTCCTCAAGGAATGAGTGTTTATCCTCCTCGGCAGAGCACCGTTGCAGGGGAGCCGTGGCGACTCGCGGGTTGTAGTCCGCTCTGGGCCTGGCTCAAGCCGTCAAAACTGTCAGAACACACATCGCGCGAGGCATCATGTGGGCCTAGGGGAGGGGGGCCTAAACCACAAAGGGAAGGGCCGTAAATCAAACCACTGGAAAAACCGAGGTGGCAGCCAAAGCGAAAGGCGCCTTGCCCTCGGACCAGTGTGGGAACGGGTGTGCGGCATTGTAGTGGCCCTGGATTAGCTCTGTGCAGGCCACGACAGAGGCGGGGGCACGTCAAGAGGTCATAAACCCAAATATACCTCAGGACGGCCGAGGAAGACGGCAGCGAGGAAGACTGGCGAGGGGCCTTGGCAGGAGGAGTGCTCTCGAGAGGCAGGGGGGGCTCAGAGCACACAAGAGACCAATGCATGCCTGAGACCCGCGAGGAAGACTGGAGGAGGCAATGAGAAGACGACAACCCAAGAAAGGATGTCTCCCTCATTGTCCCTCTGGCAGCATGAAGGCAGCTTGGGGTAGCAACAGAGAAGGAGGGACATCTCTGGAAAATCTCTGACCTAGGCATCTGTACACCGGCTGTACAGAGGACCGGGCTCTCACTGGACGTCAAGGACCCGTGACAATGAGAGCACCAGGCCCGCCGACTCAACCCGAAGGGTAGCTGAGCGAGGAGTTGCCCCACTGCAACTCGCGGGCTCGGACCCACCAGGGAATCAGCTGACCTTGGTGTCTCACGTCGTGGATCATCGACTGCAGAGATGGTACCCAACATTCCACCATTTTCCGGGGACCTGGCGAACGATGAGCAAGGCCGCTCAGCTAGATAAGTGCAGTACCCGGCTGGAACAGGGTGATAGCCGATCCCGATGGAGACAAGCTCCACCAGTGTCTGCCCCGCAGACACTGGGAACTGAGGCTCCGCCAGGCAGCCGATTACCCTGTCCAGGGAAACTGCTACTCCAAATTGTCCATGCCGGCGGGGCCATCCTTCGGAGAGTGGTCGCCGTCGTCCAAAAAGGGGGTGGGTGCTTCCGTGGGCCGTCCCTCCGGATCGAGGGGAGCCGGCCTGGTCACTGCAGGTCCTGCCTGCTGGACACCCAACCCGAAGGGTGTCAAAGCCGCCCCTTTCTCCGCACGTTTGGCGGCTAGTTTGTCCTCCAGCGTGGGTCCGCCGATGTGTCGCGGCTCCGGAGTGGTCTTTGGCTTTACGACACGCTTGGCAGCGGGCTCCTTGTTCTTGTAGCCGGCGGGGGGTGGCGAAGAGATAACCTTGGTGAGGTGGCCTCCAGGTGATCCAGAAAAGGGAGCATGTACTGTAAAGATCTCTCCAGGAGCGACAGAGGGGGCTGTGGCGACTCCTCTGTCCGATCCATCGCCAGTCTGAGCTTCCTTGAAGATGTTGCCAGTGAAGGCGAGGCCTGGGGCCGGCGTAAATGGCATGCCAAAGTACGTGGGAGCTGAGGGAGACATTGGCGTCAGCCCTGTCGTGTCCATGGGGGCCGGAGCTGTTGTCATCACTGGGCCGGGGGGCCTGGTAAGGCCGCCCGAAGCACCCGCGGCACCACCTGCATGTGGGACCGCCCCACATCCGGCCGCGAGAGACTGTGGCCGAGCCGGGCCACCAGCCAAAGCAGCTGCACTGAGGGCATCTCTCAGGAAATCCGTGGTCGTCTCCGTAGGTTCCACCTCTGTCATCAGTGTCTGCCATGCTGCATCCGAGTCCGCGGATTCCGGTTTCGGCTGAACCCCGTGGATAACAAGATCCTTGGCCGCTGCAGCTGCCTGTCTTCCGTTCTGAATCGCGGCCTGCGTCTCTGCGGTGATGCGTGCCATATCCGCCTCGTACTCCTGCTGCTGTTTCAAAAAGCGAGCCTGGGTGTCTTTCTGGAGCTGCACCCATAAGGCCTCCTTGCGTGTCCGCTCTTCTCCCAAGCGTCGTACCCGTGTATCCGCTCGGCGAGCCGCCGTCAGCATCTTCTGCATTTCTCGCATCAGCACACTCTCCTGATCGTCGAGCACTGCCTGTGAGGGTGCCGCAGCCGCCTTGGGTGCCGCTAGAGCTACTTGGTCGTATCGGATGGCTTCGGGACGGTGCTTGCCAGGTGAGGCTGTAGACCAAGCACCAGGCCAGACATGCCAACTTGGCTGCCCGGTTCGGCCGTCGCCCTTCCAAGGCGCGGTCTCTTTGTCCCAACCTCGGTTGGCTTCTGTGTCCCAACCGCGGCTGCGTCGGCCCATGGCGCTTGTTAGCTCTCGATATTGTGGCCGACTATGGTGCTGCGACAGCAGCTGCAGATCACGTAGGAGGGGCCGTTTACACAGGGCCCGAGCAGTATGCACGCGTCGGCGTGCCCTCGTCCGATGCAGACGAAGTCTCCGATGCCACGCCGGCGAATTGGCTATGGCGTCGAGTGGCGTGCTATTGCACTGGGGCTGTGGCAATACCCACCAACAGGTGAGTTCGATCCAGAGCGCCTGTTATGTTCATTATCATTTATCTTCCTGTAATTCTTAAGAGCATTATCTCTATTGTCCTTGGTCAGAAAGCCATGAAGACTTCCAAAAGGAGGGGCTTTCAGCGCTTCAGGGGTTGCAATGGTTGTAGGGCTCGCGCTTGATCTGGAGCGGCTATGTCAACGAGGACGAGGGGAATGCAGCATTTGCTCTAACACAGACACACTAAGCGAAAAGCGGCTGTCATGAACCCATGGACCCACAATTTTGCATTCACTGGCCTTCTGCATGTCTATGACATGCTCGGAGGGAAGTGTATAAGACGGGCCATCATGAATACAAGCACTGTCTGGTTGGCTTAACCAGACAGCGGCATCAGGACTGGCTCCCACGAGCGCTCAAGTCTCACTCATAGAGCAAGACATATTCGGGATAGGCTGCGGCATTCTCAAAAATGACAAACTCCATGTGCGTCTGCCAACCAGACTGATGCCCGCCCATGTCTCCAGGGCGAGCAATGACTGAATCCTTTCCTCCTGGCGGACGGTTGAATCGAAGGCGGCATCTTGTTGCATAGTCTGGATCTCCAAGCAGAACACGCGCGATGATGATACAGTTCAGGGAGATGCTGTTCCTGTCCGTGTACTGATGACTCTTGCAGGCTTGGCTGGCGAAGTACGTTCCCTTGCCATAGTAGCCACCTTCATTCGCGACTCTGAAGTCGAAACCTTCGCAGGCGATGTCCTTGGCGGTGCCAAGGGATGTGCCATGGAACAAGAGGCACTCGTTGTAGCTGGCACTCCCTGGAGTTCGCATAGATGAATGAAAATCGCGCAGCTCCACACCAAGTGGTGGATCTACAGGCTGCACTGCGACACAGTGCTGCGCATGCCGCTGTTGCAGCTGCCTTGTGTAATCCATGAACTTCTGAAGTAACCAAACGTTCTGAATTTGGAAGGCCTGCTTCACCTGGAAGCTTGACTTGCAATCTCGAGAACCGAAAGGCTGGTTTGGATTACTGTGATGGTGTGATGCTGAGGCTGTTAGCAGGTCGCTGAATTGCTTCAGCTTCTCCATGTCTCTGACCTCCACGGCGACTTTCTCGAAGCTGGCTGAGACCGGTCCGGGGGAAGATGCGGAACGGCGCTGGCGCTTGAGCATCTCCTCGTTTGAGATTGACCAGTGCGACGGGATTCCAAAGTAGCACGAGATCTTGCGGACTCTGCCAGCAGAGCTCCGCTGCACTCTTCGATCAAAATCCAGAACCCGACCCGAGGAGATAACAACGCTCGAATGCCCCGCCCGGTATGCCATCATGGCCGCGAGGTTGTCTTCCTGGCCGAAGCACACCTAAGCAACAGCAGAGCATGATCATCACAGAGACGCACAATAGCCGAAGCAAAGCATGCTGTGGGCTGCATCGCCACCAAGCTCTGACTCATTTTTGGCTCAAACAACTCAGTAATCCCTTCAGCTGCCCCAGCCGCGGATGCTGCGACTAGGCTTCCCACAGGCTCGCCCTGGTCGTTCTCAAACTTCCACCTGGACTGATTGCAGTAGGGTTGATGATATCAAACCTGCATCGCCCATGATAAGCAATACACCGAAATTGCCATAGCCTAGGGCCCCTTAAGGTAGTGCAGTACATCATCAACCGTAGCAGCGGCAGTAGCAGCAGCTATGACAGCTGGAGCCTAGCCTTCTGTACCAAAACCAGCCGAGCAACTGATAGTCGCCATAGATGGTGGGGACTTCCTGAGCTTGCACCTCCCAGGACAGCGCATGGGGAACTCGACAAAGGCTTGGGTTTGCAGCTTAGGATTTAGCTCAGGGCCTCGTGTTTAGGGTGGTTCAATTGTTAGGGCTTAGTTTTGGCTTCAAAATTTCACCGTCCCAGCTTACCCACGGCAAAAATTAAACACTCAAACCTGCGCCAGCACGACTTCCTTCTCTCGAAGCATCTCCTCAAGGTTTGACTGCCTGGCACGGAGTGCCATGTGGAGGTTTGTTCGGCACTTGCTTCCTGTCGTGAAACCTGAAATACAGCCAATTCCAGGACCTACTTAGGGTTCTAGACACGCTGTTACCACCATGCCTCTGCTGACAACGCTCATGACACTCAAACTTTCTCTTTCGGCTTCTCATGCACGGGCCTCTGCTGCAGCTTTCGAACTGCTTCTTGCTTCACGGACCTTTCGTTTTCAAGCTCTTCCAAGCCCCCCTCGAGCTGGCTCCTTTGTAGCTGAAGGTCTCGGCGCCGCTGTCGCAGGGCGGTTAGGTCGCTCTCCAAACTCTGCCTCTTTTCCTCGAATGCCGTTTCTTGCTCTTGGATTTCCTCGGCTTTCTTGGACAATGCGCTTTGCCTACCTTGAACTTCTTGTGCTCGCTGCTGGATCTGCTCCTCTTTCTGGGACAGGGATGCCTTCTCTCGTGCCAGATCGCCGTGCGCCTTCTCCTTTGTGGACTTAAGAGTGCGCAGCTGGTTCTCGAGCTGCTGCTTTGCCCGTGCTGCCTTTTCGCTCTTCTGCGAGGCTGCCTTTAGCTTTCCTGTAGAGCCGGAGAGCTGTTCATGAACATGGGCACACAGAATGCGCTGAGCAAGCTGTTCAGGCCTTGTAGCTGGGAAAGCTCCGCCTTCAGACGCTGGTTCTCGGCTTCTGACATCGCCTGCTTCGCCTCGAGGTTCGCAAGCCTCACACGTGCACTTGCAGCTTGCAGGACTGGGCTCAAGGAAAGATCGCTGCAGACAAGTAACCGGGCGTCGGCTTTTGTGTGAAACGGCGCAGGCTGCGAAGCACGCTCTGCCGCACGCGCCTTCGGCGTCGCGCTTTGATGGGACTGCTGGGCGGTTGATGCATCTACTGCCAAGGCCAGGGATTCTGCCATGTACCAGTGCTCCACACCACGGTGCAACACCCGATATGGCCGATCCGTGCCATCATTTTCCCTCAGCACTGTGACGTCATGGGCCTTGAGAGGCCCGGCTCTGTCGTCTTCATCCACCACCGGAAGCGACAGCCTCACCAAAGCGCCAACTGGCAGAGCCTCCGGTACATGCATGGTCCCGCAGAGTCTGAGAGTCTCCAGGTCGTGCCGCTGGAAGATGCCCGCGCCACTCGAGGTTTCGGGGCGAAACCAGAGCGCGACGGAGCCATCGTCCGGCGATTGGTGAACCCCGACGGCCACGAACCGCCTACCATCTGGAGCACAGACCATCTCACCATGTCGAAAGCCTCCCAGCAGCTTGCAGATCTCATCTCGAGTGTCAAACTTGGCAAACTTCGTGGGGTCGTGGAGGCTGCAGGCGTGCCGGAACGACTCGTGCAACCAACGTGCATGTTCGCTCGGCGAGCGCCCGTCTGCATGTCCACCGGCTGGGACGCTGCAGTCCTGCTCGAGCTTTCTGAGCTGCTGCTGGCGAACAGGAACAGCACTTTCATTTCCCTCGACATGGCACCAAAGCCACGGTTCTCCCTCCCATTCCTTCACTCCGATAACTGTGGCCACCTTGCTTCGATCGGTCAGCACCATGTCCCCGTGCTTGCACCCGAAGTGGCCAACTGCAACGATGCTGACATCAAACATCTCCGGCCGCGACTCCTCCTCCCCGGCCGCATAGCTGAAGGTCTTCTGTAGCCTCGTGGGGGCCGTGAGGCTCTCGGCCTGCGAAAGCTCAACCTTGCACTTGCTGCACCACATCTCGGAGGGCTTCCAGGGCAGAAGCCTGGCGCATTCCTCGCCGTCCTTCTGCGCCCACAAGCCCACACTGCCGTCCTCGGAGTCCTTCTGAACCCCGACCACGACGTAGGAATCACCATATGCGTTCTCGATGACCTGGCCGTGCACGAACTTGTCAACCTTCAGGCACACTTCATCGCGCACATCGAAGCGGCCCAGGACCGGCTGATTGCGGAGCATCTGCCTCAGTCGGACTTGGCACAAAGGCCAGAGCATTCAGTTTTGCTTCATCAGAGAGGAAAACGGGTGGGATCCCGTGGCTCAGAGCAATGGCTTTGACAGATGCCACAGCAACAGCACTCTGTCAAGGCATGCTAAAGTGTAGCACACATAGCATATTAGTAGCAGCCCGTGGGCCCACTGTGTCGCAAGTTGGCATGATCTGCCGGCTGAGGCTCTTGAATTTGAAGCTGTGCTCCAGCCACTCGCACGACCGGCTCGGAGCAAACCCGTCAGGATCTTCCGTAAGTGCCACAGTCATCCGCGTCACCGGGCGAAGCCTAAGGATCGCAAACACGAAGAGGCGCAAGGATTTGAGAATAACATGCTCGTCTACCCTGACTCCCCGCAAACCCGAAACCCTAAGCGAAACACAAAAAAGAACATGAAACCCCAAGGCCCTGAAGCACCCATGCCTCGACTAGTGTACTGGATCCTCAAACAGGGACGAACATGGAGGCCTTGACAATCAGAATGGGGTTTTGTGGGTGCATTGTAGTGTAGTGATATGGAGCCTATTCAAACGAAATATCATACAGAACAACGACCTTCCCTCACTCCAAAAGCCCCGAGTCCTACACCGCATGCCCGCAAACCCCCAGAGAGACCATGGAGTGAATGAAGCCGGAAGCCCCAAAAAATCCCTAAACCCTGCTGCCGACTCCTATGTTTCAGGGAGTACAGCAATAATGCAATAATGATAGCAATGATAGCGGTAGCAATAACAGCTCCGGCAATCATACTCTAGAAATAGTTGCAAACTATGATAGTATGAACCCAGAGCTGCCCAGAGACTGCTCGCCAGCCCCGGCCGCGGCAGTTGCGCTGGATCCCTCGACGTGATACCACCTGCGAAGGCTTCAGATGAAGGGCTTCAGGGTTCAGGGCTTGGGGGTGCTAGGGGTTTTGGGGTTCAGGGTTTAGGGTTCTGGGTTCTGCTGTCTTAAGGTTTAGGCCCTAAACCCTAAACTTTAGGGTTTGGGTTTGAGGCTTTACGGGAAATCGGGCTTCAGGCACAACGTGCGGCGTTACGGCATTCGAGCTTTACCTTTGGCTACCTTCCCCTGAACCCCAACAGAACATCCAAGCGCATGACGAGCGAGGTTGCCTTCAAGCCTTCGAGCAAACACGTCAAAACCACAAACTGGTCCCGACCCTAAACCCTAAACCCTAAACCCTAAACCCTAACGCAAGCTGATCTAAAACAAGACAGGGAGCAAGCGACGCTCCCCAGACCCGTCCGATTTCACGCCGACAATCGTGGCAACTTGTCCTGACAGCCACCCCAGGCGAGACTTACCTGGGCATTTCCGAAGGAAACCGCTGCCCTGACTTGCAAAGGGCTCCAAAGGTGGGGAGGAAGGTAGGTGGAAAATACATTATATTAACAAATATGTACATATGCATGTATATATATATATATATATATATTTCTTCTTTTAGTTTAGGGATCCTTCAGCCTACCTACCTCCATCCCACCTTTTGAGGCCTCCGGTGCTGTCCTTTTTCGGTGAGGACGACGTCTCCGTGTCGTGCTCCACCGACATCGTCACAGGCTTCAGGCCGGATGTCGTAGAGATCACCAAGATAGGCAAACGTCAGCCTCACTTCCTCGCGGAACGCTGCTCTGAAGGAGGGCCTTTATCTCGGATACCCATTCAACAGCAGGAGTTCATTGACATCATGACGCTACCACAGACATGACACGGGCATCCTCGCAGAGCCAATGCCTTTTGGCTCAAATCCCACTGGTTTCAAGCTTCAACTGCAACCGTCCATCAGGAACAAAAAGTGAAGTTTAGACGACTGAAATAGCTCGAGTCTGAAATGGATTCGAGTATGCCCCCCAATCAACAACCCTGTTTCCTGCGGCAAGCAACTGTCAGTGAGTCAGGTCAGGTCCTTGTCCACTCCGCCACTGATCTCCAGTAGCTCTCTCTGATGTCGTGCTCGACAAAGAAGACTTTGTAAGCCTTCCTTATCACTGCCACTGTCATCTGAGTCGACCCTCGGCATCATGCCTTCTTGGGCCACACAGCTATTTGAACGCAAGCCGACATAAGTTGCGAGCATGGTTGTTAGGGTGCAGATGCGATATTCTCGACCTGTCACTCCAGTCCATAGCACTTTTGGCTGTTTCTGCCACTCTTTAAAAATGCTGACAAAGGAAAGGCTTGGACCGCCTTTGCGGACTATGGCGTGCCCCACTGGCGACCTCTTTAGGAAAGGATCACCCGGTCCGACGGAAAGGGATTGAGCCGAGCAGAATGCACAGAAGGCGTGCATCCCCGGCTGGTACATAATCCGATTTCCTGCGGGACTGCACTTCTTGGAGATACGGAACATGACAAGCGGCACGCCAAGCGGTGCACTACAGGACTACAAACTGAAGGCTTGCTTGCTTCCACAAGCGGCTTCATGAATCTTACTCTTACCTGCGTGTCTTCGCTAGTATGCCAAAACTCCGACACTAAGTCACTTCATACTCAGCTTCGCGATGATTCTGCAGATCTGCCCGCAATCCTCTGTACAAACTTTGCATCCAAGTTTGACTTCAGGATTCAGGCAGTCGAATGCAGCGAAGTGCGAAGCCACCTTTCGCACGCCTCAGCTTGGCTGAAGCAAACAGGGATGAAGATCGCAGATGCACCGCATGCTGACAAGAAACGTCGGCTTCCTTACTGTGACCTGCCGCAGAAGAAGTCTTAACAAGGCGAAGGAGGCAAACCCTCAGCATGTAGAGCGTGGCAGCCGGTGCCCAGACATGCATGAACGTAATATAAAGGCCTTAATAGGATTTTACTATAGTCATAACAAGGAACCCCAACAATAGTATTGGTAATTACTTAGGCCCCTATAGTACGGAGGCCTCCAAGCTGGAAGGCCTCCAGGGCTTTGACCGCGGCTTCCTCTGCTTGAGCGGCGTCGCGCTCGCGGATGGCCCTGCAGGACCTTCCGTGGCGATCGTCTGACCATGTCCCAAGTTTAGGGCTTAGGGAGTTTAGGGTTTAGGGTTTAGGGTTTAGGGTTTAGGGTTTAGGGTATAGGGTTTAGGGTTTAGGGTTTAGGGTTTAGGGTTTAGTCGTCTGACCATGTCTCACAATCGAAAGCCCTTTCCAAATCCTCCACAGAACCCTGGACTCTCATTGCAGGAATCCGAACCAAACCCTAAACCCTAGACCCTGAAACCCTAAACCCTAGACCCCCAAGCCCTGGAGGACCGCAGTCTGTGCAGAAGAGGTTCCAACAGCGGCCCGCATGCGAGAGCAGCCGAACCCTCTTTGCCTCAGCAAATGGCCGGGGTTTAGGGCTTAAGGGGGGCTTGGGGGGATTCTGTGGATTTGGGGGGATTGAGAGTTTACGTGTAACCTTGAGGTTCTGAGTTGAGGAATACATCCTCCAAAAACGAGGTACCAGTACGATGACTACGTTTGCCTTTCTACAGACATTGTTCGTCTTGCTGGCATACTTGGTCAACCCACGATTGTGGCAACCACGATGATCTGCGCTGAATCTGCACACACAGACAGAATCCACTTTAAGATGGGCCAACGTGCAGCCGCGCGGCCAGAACAAGCCGCCGAGGAGCACTCTGACTCCACAAGTACACGAACTCGGCACAAAGCCCATCCTGCGCCATGGACCCACCATCCACCGCATCGAGAGCATCCTTGCAGCTCGCTGCTCCCCTGCAGAATGCCTCGGCCGCCTTCTGAAACTCACCGGCCGCAAGGAATCCTCGGGCCGCACTCTCGTAGGCCTCCACCTGGGTGTCTGTCGAAATTAGGGTCCCTTTTGGGGGTCCTATTATAGTACATCCCTATTATAGCACGGCACCTCTTATTTAGGGTACCCCCAAAAGGGGCCATAGTTTTGACAACTACCCACCCGGTGGTCGCTCATCTTTGCCAGGGCCTCGAACTTGGAAATCACCTCGCTGACGGAAGGCTTCAGCTGGCGGAACAACGTCCTCAGCTCGCTCATCGCGTCTTTGTGCGCCTTCGGGCTCTCGTCCCAGTAGGACTGAAGACGCTCCTTCCACTCTTGGAGCCGTGTCTTCTTTCTATCGAAGTGGTCTTTCTGTCTCTTCGTGCCTGGGTTGACACTGCAAGATGTCCTACATGGATGGTGATAGTTATGCTGCTGATGTTGATGGTGATAGTGATGATGATAAAGGTGATGACGAGGATGATGATGAGGAGGAGGATTAGGATCCGGATGAGGATGATGATGAGGCTCAGGCTGATGGTGATGGTGAGTGTCATGATGATCGACCGTTTCAAGATCGAAGGCGCTTTTTTGTTTCGCAATCTTTGATGACCACTGACGACTTCGAGGGGACAACACTCCGTCTGATGAGGGACCGCCATTGCTAAACCCTAAACCCTAACCCCCACTAATCCCTAAACTCCTAGATCCCTAAACCCCTAAACGCCGAAATCCCTAAATCCCTAAACCCCGATTAAATCCCTAAACCCCTAAACCCCAAACCCCCACTAACATCCACAAACCCCGAACCCCTAAACCCCCAGACTTGGAACCGGGCCTGACTGGGCCCAGCGCAAGGCCTTCTCGGACTCCTCGATCTTCCTGGGAAGGCCGCGTTCAGTGTTTAAGGCTTATACGGTTTATGTAGGGGTTTAGGGTTTTTTTTGAGCACCTTTTCCGTCCGCCTAAGAAGTTCTAGGGGTTTAAGGTTTAGGGTTTAGGGTTTTGAGGTTTAGGGTTTTAGGGGTTTGAGCACTTGCAGGTTTGAGGCCGAAGTACTTGAGAGCTTCATGGGTAAAGGGTTCGACAGTTAAGTTCGGATTCTGTAGGGCTTAGGGTTTAGGGTTTAGTGAGGGCGAAAAAGCTTTCAAAAGCAGATCTCACCGCGATGAACCCGTAGGGCTGACGGCTCCGACCAAAACTCTTTCCCCCTTAAACCAGAGGAAATGAATCCTAGTCCAGTTCCTAGGCTCTGGCTCAAAGCGCAGCAGTTGTCGAGGACCACTTGTGACTCTGTCCGAAGCCGCTCAGACTCCACCGTATCCAACCATATCCATACAGTGCCGTCAGGAAACCACAACCTGAGGGTATCTGAGATCAGGATTTACAAGTTGCCTTAAAGCAGACCTTTCTCCGGAAACAGGACTGTCTCGAATTTTGGGGACAACGGTTTGCTCTTGGAAAAAGCTACATGATGTTGCAAGTAATGTATTCACGAGCTCAGAAGGTGCTTTGCTGCTTTGACAAGCGTTCACCTGTCAGGACTGCCACGCGAGCGCTCCAATCTAGCGACTTCTGTGCGAACGATCTCCAGGTGATCCCCCGAGAACTTCTCCACACGGTCTCTCGGCTGTCCCGGCTGGGAGTCGCTTTCCACCTTTCCTGGAGGAATCTGCTTCATCTTCGAGAGCCAGTAGGACGTGCACCGCTTCTTGGAATAATCTTCTCCGTACCTTGGGCCAAGACAAGACGTGAAAAACGACCAGCTGCACACACAGCCCCCGACGATGGGCAGCCAAGTCGCTTGCCCAACACCTGCTTGAAGGACATCTCCTCTCCGCTTTCAGGGTCGACTCGCAGAGCTGGCCTCCAAGCTTCCAGCTTGCTTTCCTGACCTGGGTTGCGGGTTTTCGGGTTTGCGGCTTGGGTTGTCAAAGTTATCGGGCCTCAGGAAAAGCTTGCGGACTTTATGGTGGCGGCAGCCTGCTACATGCAGCACGGCCGAGGCGACGACCCTGTGGGCAAATCCATTCCTCTTCCTCTTCAAACTTCCCATTCTTTTGTTCCACTCGGCGTCTGCAGGTCTGTACAACAAAGTGCTTTTCTTCAAGAGACTTCATCTCCGATTCAGGAAGCTGGTGGATGCGGTAGGCCGTTTTGTCCACTTGAAGAAGCTTGCTCCATCGGCGTCTGCAAGAGCTGATTTTCTCCCATTCGTGGTACCTCCACAAAATATCTCGATCTCTCTCCCTCTCTCGCTCATTTTCTCTCCCTCTCGTACTTCTTCTAGTGGGCTTCAAGGGAGGGGTGGTCACCCCTCTTCCCCTCGCCTGTGCACAAGTCGCGCTGTGCTGTCCAGGTCTATCTGGCTCCCTCTCTCTCTCTCTCTCACATTATCATTCTCATTCCCGTTCTCTCTCAGGCACTCACTTAACACCATTCACGGTTCGGGGCTTGTTTAACACGTGTCGTCTTCTGCATGCTAGTCGGGGCCAAGGTACTTAGACAACAAAGCGGACCAAGTCAGCTTTTCACCTTCCGAGTTTCTCCTGACTTCTTCCAACCACAAACCAGCACCTGGCAGGGTTTACGACGCTCGGGGGTCGGGGGTCGAGGGTTTAGGGCTGAGCGATTCCATCAAGAAAAGCGATTGATGCTTGGCGCCTGGGTCTTTTTTGGCTGGTTGCCGGTCCCACTCCCGAAATCGAGCGTCCGCCTCCTCGAGCTGTTTGCCGACGGCCAGGTGATACCCTCGGGCGGTGAAAACATGGGCTTTAGGCATCGGGCTTTAGGGCTTGCCCTTGTTTCAAAACTGGGGGAAGCCTATAGCCAAACCACCGGGAGAGCATAAAACTAGAAGACAATTGGCCCGAAAGCATCATCAGCGAAGAGCGTTGCGCTACGTCATAGAATCCAGTGTATAGGGTCATAGAGTCACCGAGTCAAAAGCACGGAGTCACAGAGTCGGAGTGTCACATACATTCAAGAGTCGTACAAGTCATAGTTCATAGAGTCATCGAGGCATAGAGTCGAGCACATGTCAAGCACAAGTCATAGTTCAAATAGTCATAGAGTCACAGTGAGACAGAATCACAGAGTTATAGTGTTATAGAGTCATAGCGTCAGAGTGAGAAAGAGTCATAGAGTCATGGAGTCATCGATGTACCACGCACTTGACTCAATGTAGTTCACTCTATGAACACTAATGTTCAGGTTTAGCGGGTTTAGGGTAGAGTCCAACATGACGCAGAAGTCTTCCTTTCCTAGCTCCGGAACCTCACTATATAGACATCCCTGATTACTGTGGTTTCAATGTGACTCTATGACTCTATGCATGGTCACTTTATGTCGCAGCAGTAGTAGTTGCAGTAGTCACGGTTTAGGGGTTTAGGGTTTAGGGTTTAGGGTGCGCGTCAAAAAGTAGTAACTTTGCCACACGATTGAACCCTGGACCGCGCCAATCCACGCACAGGGTTAGGCGGGGTTTTGGAATGTGCAACTTTACTTGTTTAACTTTACCTGACGCTTGGACGCTCTGAAGGGTTGTGCGGGGCGCCTAAAATGTGTAACTTTACCTAGCGTTTCAACGCTCGACCATGCCAATCCCTGTGAATGGTTGCGCGGGGCACCTAAAATGTGTAACTTTACCTAGCGTTTCAACGCTCGACCAGGCCAATCCCTGTGAAGGGTTGCATTCCCGATGGATGACGACGGTGCCACCCCTGGCTTTAGAAGAGAGATTAGATACCGAGATGTAGAGAGTAAGTCATGTAGAGAGTAAGTGTAGAGAGTAAGTGACAGAGTCATAGAGTCATAGAGTCAAGGTCACAGAGTCATAGAGTCATGGAGTCAAGTTCTCAAACGTATAGAATCCAGTGAGGTATAGAGTCAAGTGTTCATAGAGTCAAGTAAGGTATAGAGTCAAGTAATGTATAGAGTCAAGTAAGTAAGTAAGTAAATAAGTAAGTAAGTAAGGACGTCGTATAGTCATAGAGACCTTCATAGAGTCGTAGAGTTCATAGAGTCGTAGAGTCAAGTGTCAAGTCATAAAGTCATGTACTCGATTCTATGTCTGTCATCTATGAACTTCTCTACCCGGCTCCGCACGGAAGAACCCTTCGCGATGCTTTCGGGAACACAAGGTCGAGCGGCTGCTTGAGAACTCAAGCATCCTTTGCTTGGCCGCCTCTGTTTCATCCGCGAGTTGTGCCTCCTCCTTTTTCTGAGCATCGAGCATGCGCTTAGCATCGTTGCGCTCGTTCGCCAGCTTGGGCATGCCAGCTTCTATCAGCCGGATGAGAGAAGGTAACAATTTCCGGCGAAGCCTCGCCACAGCAGCGGCCTGCTGAGAGAGCAAGCACTTGCAAATCTATCGATGGAGACTGAAGAGTTGAGGGTTTAGGATTCAGGCTTTCAAGTCTCACGGGATGCCTTTTACGACTTCATTCTGAAAGCACTTAGAACTTAGAAACCCCTGCCTTCTTGGCTTTCTCATACTCCTTTAGCGACTTTGCCCTCTTCTCCAAGACGGCACCGAGCGCCTCGAACTTCTGCCGATAACGGCCTTGTTGCTCAGCATCATACTGTGGAGCGATGACATAGATGTGGGCGTGTGCCTTTGCCAGACACTTCTGCAGCCGTTTCCTTAGGATCTGCTAGCAGGCGAAGCAGCTCGCGCAAAGTATGTTGTAGGAGTTGGCCTCTGACTTGTCATCAACTTGGAGCACAAAAGCAGCCGGTGTGAAGGCTTGGGCTGCGCAGGCTCAGGGTCCAAATGCTTCCGATTGGAATGGCTTTCGGCTTGTGATTTCTCATGATTTATCGAAGCCACGCGTCACTTGCTTGCCGTGCTCCTTGCAGCACTCCACCATATGGTGGAGTACCACATCCACTCCACACTGCTCGAACTCGGGCGCCAGGAAGGAGGCAATCTTTCGCCAAATCCTTGGAAGCAGCAACGTACCCTCGCATTGCGTAGGGTAAGTGTAATTAGGCATACTTCAACCCTACGCCCCGAGGCTTCGTACGTAAAGGTTTTTTTTACCAGCCACGAGCACCTGGAGTCATCTACGAGCTCTGAGACTGAGCAATCCCCGCCTCGTTATCGCGGAGACCAAATAGAGCGAAAAGCAGCATCCACGCTGGTGGTGTACTACGCAAAGGGTCTCATAGTCAACTTGGTCATGGGGCGAGTACCTACCCGAGTACCATAGAACAGTAACAGGCAAGTGTCGGACCCTAAACCCTAAACCCCTCAACTGCAAGTGTCGGTTCTGCGGTCTCGGGCTTTGTGCACAACTTGGCCAGGGCGGACTGCCCGCGCCAGCTGGGACACCTCGAGGCCTCCCGCAAGGCAGCCGCCAGCTGATTCTTCCAGCTCAGTGGGCACCTTTTTTGAGTTTCCGAAAATAGGGGTACCTTAAAAGGGATCGTTTTGGGGGGTTCCTTAAGGGATCTAGAAGGGTTCTATAAAGGGTTTAGGGTTCAGAGTTTCCGAAAATGGGGGACCCTAACAGAGTACCCTAAACAGTAGGATCCTTATTATCAGAACCCCAAGATAAGATACGGCCTATTTTTTGGTTCCTCCCGTGCGAGTGTGCGACACCGGGATCCATGGGCTCAGGGCGTAGCGTGCTGCGGAAGTTTCTAGCCGCTGGTGGCGCACACTCGAGCAAGCTTCCCAGAGATCCCAACACCCCTTAATTAAGGAATATACATTAAATAAATCATAATATTAAGGCCTCTATCACTTAAGGTATATATTCCTTAATTTAGGGCTATTGGGTTCTCTGGGTTCAAGACAGGGCACAGCATGTCCGGCGTCAGCTGCCGATGAAGCCACAGATTGGCATGGTTGGAACCTCGAATTTGCATCTGAGCTCCGAGGAAGGGATACAAGCAGAAAGCATACAGATTTGTATACAAGCTCCTCAGCATGAGAGAACTTCAAATCCCCAATGTTGCATACTTTCGTACCAGCTGCCACCCCAACAGTACCAGCTCGCACTCTGAACCCAAAACCCTGCACCCGACACCGGGAAGCCCATCTTGAAGACGTTGTACGCCTCGCGCAGCACCTGAGACAGCTTGCCCCCAGAGGAAGCAGCTTCTCAGGCTTGCTTTCAAGCCTACTCGCCTAATACAGGGCCTTCATGTTTAGAATATTTTAGAATAGGGGGTATATTGTGCTATCATGATAATAATTAAGGAACCCCCGAAACCCTATTCTAATCATTAAGGCCCCTATACCTTACCCATCCCGAGCTCTCATGAGGCTTCAGGGCTGGTGGCTTCGGGAGTCAAAAGAAAGCTGAGGGTCTTACGGTTTGGGGCCAAATTTGGGGTTTAGGGTTGAACCTAAACTTCCCTAAACCCTAAACCCTCGGGTCAGCTTGTAAGAATTCTTACGCTGCTCCCAGCAAGGCTTGAAACTCCCGCCTTACGCCGCTCGCGCAGGTCATCAAGCCTCGGCATCAACAACCCGACTGCCCCAAGCTTCAAGCAGAGATGACGAACTCCTCACAGCTGGGCACTCCGACTGAGCACCGTCCTGGGCTTGCAAAGTCAGAGAAAACCAGGGAGCCGAGCACCGGACGCGTGGTTCAGGAGCTTCTCGCCACGATCACGGTAGTCGGCCACAATGGCGAGGTCATCTGCCGTTGCGACGCAGTTGAAACCTCGAAGCGCAAGGCAAAGCTCCGACTGAAGCGGCTCAGATCCCGAGCGCCCGAGGGCGGGACGCCGCCGCAACTCCGGAATCTGTGAGGCGACCTCGTCGCCCTCAGGGGTTCGGAACGAAGCCCAAAAAAAGGATTCCAGGGGAACTCTCGACGGAAGCTTGCAGCGCACCCAGATATACAGACAACAAGGTAAGGACTATTGATGCTTGCTGGTGACGATACTTATAGGAGTAGGAGAGGAAGAGGACAAGGACGGGGACGAGGATAAACACATGGATGCTGAGGATGACGAAGAAGATGGTTATGGCCGTAAGGATGGTGGCGAAGAAGACAGTGATGATGAAGCTGCTGGTGGTGGTGGTGAAGATGAGTGCTACTACTGTCATTATTATGAATATGACAGCCGGAAAAGCAAAACCAGCAGGAGGAGCAGTCGCAATGGGTGGTAGTGGAGCTTGCAGTTGTGAAATGTTGTAGCGGCGGCAGGGGCAGCGGCAATGAGAGGGTAGTCATAGCAGCAAAGAGGAAACAAGGTAGCAGCAGACACGGATGCAAGAGAAGTAGAAGTAGAAGCAACAGCAGCAGCAGCAGCAGCAGGAGCAGCAGCAGCAGGTAGTTCACTTGCATTCGAACAAGCACCACCGTCATCATCATAATCAGCATCGACGTTGTCATGGTGAGCAAATTCGCCAGCATCGAAAAGCATCATCGCGTTCACTTTCGGACTTGTCATCAACATCACCATGTTAACCATCTACTTCGTCGCCATTGTCAATACAAAAATCATCACCACCGCGAACATGAAGCGCAAGCAAAAACACAGCCGCAGCATCAGCAGCAGCAACAGCACCAAGCAGCAGCGCTGAACTGCCGCTCTTGTAATTCCCAGCTACGACTCGTCTACTTCTCACATCCTGGGCCTGTGCAGCTTCGAAGTCTGTGAGCTCAACGAGATCCGTGTCCAGCCACCTTCGGAGAACTGGGAAATAGCTCCGGAAAGCTCCAGCTGCTTCGAGGGAACATGCCGTCAGACCGGAACTGACTGACAGAACACTGCTGATCTGCAGTGCAGATTCCACTGGGATGGGGCTATCATTGTTGCTATGTTCCGACGCTGTCCTAACATTTTAAGCATCTCGGATGATAACACCCCAACAACAGTCTGCGAGGATGGATCTGTTGGCGCGCAGCCTCCGCAGCAACGGTTGATAGGATGCGTTGCAGACGTCCTTGCGACACTCCAGAAACACACACGCTGAGCGAGCCCGTGAAATCGCCACATAGAGCGTTTTCAGCTCCTCGGCTGGCAGAAACAAGAGCATGCTGAAGCCAAGTTTTAGGGTTTTAGGGTTTAGGTTTTTTGTGGTTTAGGGGATTAGGGTTTAGGCTTTTAGGGTTTGAGAGTTTAAGGAACCAAAGCTTCAGGTTAGCTAACTAGTCTCTGCCCCAAACCTTGCCGACACAGGGCTTCCTGTCTGGACTTTCTTACCTGGCGACACAAGCCACCACATGAGTCCAGAAAGGCCCAGAATGTACTTCAATGCTACTCGGCTATAGGATACCCTACTATGCTATACTATGCTATACTGTACCATACCATACCATGGTAGCCATACTATACTATGCTATACTAGATTGTACTAACCTATACTTTATTATCGGCCAGACGGCCGGTATGGCCAGCGCGACATCCCAGAGCCGGCGCTTCTCGGCTTCTGCGAGCGCTTGCCCCTCGGCGTTCGCCCGGGCGAGCTGCGTGGAAGCGGAGGTGCTGTCTGCGATGTCCCAGACATCATCGTTGCCTGGGTTCTTGTTTAGGAACTTAATTTAAGTTACCATAATAGGGATCTATCGTAAATAATAGGGTTTCCTTATTATGGTAGCTTAAGTTAAGTTCCTTAACAAGAACCCAGTTGCAGCCGCTGGAGAAGAAGTCGATCAGGAACCTGGGGTCTAAGCTGAGCCGGGGAAGGGGTATACGGTATACCCACAACGCGAGAGGCTTTCCATACTAGGGTGCTAGTAAATGAAAGAAGCATCCGCAACACGAGAGTTTCCGATTTTCGGGGTCCTTATTCTCAGGAGCCTACTTGGCGGCCCCGGGGTTTGCTATCTGTTTAGGGCACATGTGAGAAATAGTATGTAAAGCAAATGGAATTAGTATGTTCCATATGTGCATGTTAATGGACTTATATTTCATCGATGTATCACAAAACAGAAAGGTGATTTACTATTTAAAGCGGTCATTTACTATGTTCTTATGATGTTGCCCAAGTATTTACAGCACATAACAATTTTCGACCAGAAGATAGTAAGTATGATGGGGCAATTAGCCGTATATCTGTAATTGAACTTAGTGGACTTATCACAAGTCAGGCAAGTTAGGATAGCAACTTTATTTTGCATTCACATGGTTCGACATTGCTGCTCATGTCAACATATTTCCTTTGCTCGCTGGCCTCGTTGCCGAAGCAGGGCATGGGAAATATAATGCAGATCATGCACCATGGATGCCTCGCATATCTCGCAAAGTCGAGTGCTCAAGACTTGCAGGTCTCGCAAAGTCGAGGTTGGCCGTGATGTCGGTGCTTTCGCCCGATCTCATCGCCCAGGTGGACAGCATGCTGGACCAAGCCGCTGAAGGAGATCGGTTGGTCCGGACAGTGCAAGACTTGCTCCAACTTCTCAAGCAGAACAACTTGGTCACGAGCATGAGGCTCAGCCCCATGCACGTGGGCGTACACCCGAAAAACCGCGATGGTGCCGGGATTATCGCAGGCGACTGCTTGGAGTTGCTAGAGAATGTGCTGTCTGTCGGATTTGTTCGCGACCGCATCACAGCCCTGGCTGTGGAGATAACGGATGCATCCGTCCGTCGCTTCAACGAGGACCTCGTCCGAGGCTCCGGCGGCCAGCTGGGCGAGCTGGACGGTGACATGCTGAAGGTTGTGTCATTGGCTGGGTCGCATACAAATTTCATGTTGCGATTGTTGTCACAGGGGGCAGCTCTTTCTACTTCGGCGGCTTCGGTGGATGGACGGCTTTCATTAGAGAAAGTGGCCCGGCGAGACCCTGAGCTTGCCAATGCAGCCCGTGAGGGGCTGGTCTGGGATGTCATATCGAGGGAAGTGGCCACAAGATGGCCGCAGTTCCTGGGCCTCGTCCAATCGGCCATGAATGCTACGCTTCAAAAGCAGGAGTCCGAAATGCAGCTCTTGCATCGGGTTCATCGACTCGTCTCGGCCGTGGAGAAAGTTGACTTCTCCAGCATCAAAAAGCAAGCCTTGGCTTCCAAGCCACCTTGCTCGGCCTGCTTACCGGGCATTTTCTCATTCGCAGTCAAGCTCTCTGACTGCATATATAGATTTCATGCCATCTTGTTGTTTACATGCATTCCTGTTTGTGGTGTTGATGGTTTCGCTGAGGTTCTGTGGGGGTCGCGGCGGACACTTACTGTTGGAGTCAGAGCGATTCTTGAGAGCGAGGGGCCAGAGCAAGAGTATGGGTCCTGCATTTTGGGAACAATTGTCGCATGAACCGCGAGGATCAATCGCTATACCGTTTGTCCGTCATGGTCTGCTAAAGTTCGCCCTGAGCGGAGCCCACGATGTGTTTGCAAGCGATCTTCGGAAAGTGTGGTCGAAGGAGGGTTTGGACCAGGCGAAGACGGCGGATTCGTTGCTCTCACAGATCCGTGAGAAAATGAACTCTACCGGCCTTGACCCGCTCAACAGCCCCGATGCCCTGCACATTCTCGGCATGACGGAAGTGAACATTGCCGCAAAGATTTTGGGGGTCGTGCAGCCGCAGGAAAAGCGCTACAAAAGCCTGCACGGCATAGCTCACGACTGTATGGTTTTGCTCAGCAAAATCAGCACCCAGGCACTCGAGAACCCGTGGGCCGACAAGGCCGAAGAGACGCCTTCGGGATCCGGCGATGCGACCACAGCACAGCCGAGCACGGTTGCCATGCGAGAGTTGCTTGACGATGGAACCTATGGTAACCCTGACGAGGTTATGCGAGAGGCAGGCTTTGAGGTGGGCTGCACGATCAAGCGAAAGAATGACAAAGACGAGTACATCATCCGTGGTGTGAAGAAGACTTATGTGCGAGTGGAGAACCAGTCCACTGGGGTCATAGTGAAAGCAAGCCTCGAATCCTTCATGAGCAAAGAGTGGACAAAGGTCGTTGCCAAGCCGCAGCCCTCCGTGATCGCAGACCTTACCCCCTTCAACCCCGATGAGAGTTTGGATTGGCAGGCCCACGTGTTTGTCGGTGCATTGTTGCAGGAGCTTCAGGGGCTGTGGAAGACGTTTGGATCGAGCAGTTTGCAAGGCAAGTTGAGCTTGCAGCTGAAGCCTTCAAAGGCACTCACGGCAACTGCAGCATTTCCGAAAAGGAAGCTCGTTCTCGTGCCGGTGACATCCAAGATTATCTTCAAAAACCCTGACGACACTTCGGGGATGCCTTCGGGGACACCTCTGCAGACAACATGGAAAAAAGACGGCAGGCTCTTCTTTGCAGTGTCCAGCAATCAATTGCCGAAAGAAGAAGGCGGGCACGGATTCCTCGCCCCGTATTTCGCAGTGCCCACGACTCCGGACGAAGAGCAGGCCAGTTTGGAGGAGTTCATGCACAAGGCTCCTCTCGCAAAATGGCCGTTGTTGCGCAACAAGGCAGCCATCAGCATCGGCGACTCCCTCTTGATCTACAAGCCTGTTTCGAAAGCGGCCGCGGAAGACCTTGAAGAGGCATCCCCTCTTGCTGCGAAACGTCGCCGGCTGAAGATGGGCTGAAGGGATCGCGAGTTTGCAGCATGCAGCTTCTGAAACTATGATATAGCCATGTATATATGGTATGCATGAGAATATGTTGGTGCGACTTTGTTGCATGCTGCTCAAGCAAGCATCGTGTATGAGCGAAGATTGAAATTGCCGGTTTCAATGGGCGGCAATGCATCGGTTTCAATCGGCATGCCTGGACGGTCATGCATATGCCAAAAGAGATTGAGCACATTGCTGCAGGCATATCATGCATGAGGTTGCAGTTTGCAGGCATTTGCAGGGCTATAGCAGCTCGCAATAGCCTCTGCAGTGCTTCATGCATGGCTCATGGCATATGATGCAGCTTCTTTGTCGCTCTGCAAGTTTGCTCATAAGGCAGCTATATATAGAGCCATGCTAGCAACCCTGAGTAAGTAGCCTCGGTCCTTATGGCGGGTCTCATGCTTGAGATGAATCAGATGTGGGGCTTGGATCAAGAAACGGTCCAAAGCAAGCTCCGGTTGGATGTGAAGCCCATTCGAGTCCGAGTGAAAGCTTCGCCAAGAAGCTTGTCCTTGCCCTCAAGGTGAACTATATCATGGTTGAGGGCAGCTTGCCGTGCACTCGGGCATGATCTCCTCGATCGGAAAGAGTGCCGACACCCGAAGCTTTTGCATCTGCAGCTCCAACCACATTCCCAAAGCCGATGATGGCGCTTTTCCGGGCAATCCAGACGACGGCCAAGGAGATTCACTTCATTGTGTACAAACTTTATAAACAAGGATGGAGGTGACTTGCGCCAAGTGTGCTCTGAAAGGCTTTCGCATTTTGTGTGTCGAGATTTCGCCATCTAGACGGCTTCCATATATGTGAAGTGTGCTTCATATTGGCCTTTGGCATGTCGTGCCAGAGTTTATATACATGGCGACTTCCATGAGCGATGTGTGCTGTGCAGGAAAGAAAGGATCCAAGTGTGATGTGCATGACATATGGGCAGTTGCAGGGCTCATGAGCTCGCATGCCCCAGGCACATCAATTGAGCATGCAAGCCTGAGGGTGTGTTGCATGTCAGCTTTTGTCCAACAGCATCAGCTCGCATATATAGGCTTCGACGATAGGTTGCCATGGCCTTCAGTGTGCATCGGCAGTTGCGGGTGTTGAAGGGCGAGCAGGCATGGGTCCCGACCGAAGAGGTAACCGTGGACGGCAAGGTATACATCAAATTTTTCAAATGGGACTCGGATCTTGTCTACCTGATGACAGGCAAGAAGCTCTATCTTGCCAAGGAGAAACGTTCCTCCAGCGGCAGTCTGGACTGCGACCTGTGGCAGGATCTGGTGAAGGCTCGCCAGGAAGCCGCGAATGATCTTCTCACGAAAGCAAAGACTGTCGAGCACGAGGGAGGTCCCCCCAAGAAGAAAGCCAAGCTTCAACGTGCAACGAGCAAAAGCATGATCCTCCTTCCCGAGACGGTGGAGGTGAGCTGCAGGGAGTACAAGCTTCGCATGCTTTTGCGAGGCCTGGGTTCCCAGGTGCTCTGGTTGGAAGGCACATGCGAGAACCTGCAATGGTTCTTTGACAACGTGCAGTCCTCTCGTGTCAAAGAGAGGAAGCACAAGAGCAAGGGTTCCAAGAACAAGGGTGTCAAGAGGGCTGCGGGCTGCTGCTTCAGACGAATCTGAGGAAGCTTCTGATGATGAGTGATCGAGTGCACATGCCGGCATCCTTACCAAGAGGATTCCCACCAGGGGCGAGTTTTGCAGCACAGCACGATCTGTGAAGATGTATGTCCAGCTTCAGTTTCCACGGCGACAAAGACAAAATTTTGGAGAGGGAGAGCGAGAGACAGAGGGAGAGAGAAGGGTTTAGAGAAGGAGAGGGAGGGAGGGAGGGAGGGAGGGAGAGAGAGAGAGAGAAATACATATGTATATGTGTATATATATATATATAGGGCGGGAGAGGGAGGAGAGAGAGAGAGAGAGAGAGAGAGAGAGAGAGAGAGAGAGAGAGAGAGAGAGAGAGAGAGAGAGAGAGAGAGAGAGAGAGAGAGAGAGAGAGAGAGAGAGAGAGAGAGAGAGAGAGAGAGAGAGAAAGAGAGAGAAAGAGAGAGACAGAGAGAGACAGAGACACCCTGAGAAGCGATGCCAGTTGAAGTGCTTTTGTGGCTGTGTGTGTGTGTGCT